TTTCAAGTAACAAAAATGCTTGTTTTTTTTACAGTTTTATCTTTATCTTAAAACATGTAATAATCCCACTGCAGTGTAATTATCGCAAGCTATTCCATTTTGAACAGTCTTTATTCATTACACGTCTCTGCATTCACTTACATATCCAGAGGTAGTACATCATCTTGCAAACCCTCTGATATTCCACAGGAATTTCTTCATTGAAATCCTGATAGAAGCACGGTTTTATGGGGAAAAACTTGGGCAAAGGTGGCCAGTTGTTTTCTTTACCTGCAAGCAAACAATTTCCTTCATGTCAAGAGACCACAGAAGAAAGTCTTACAGAATAAGAGCAGTATAAGTGTGGTTCACCTAATGCTGTATCCCGATCCCGGAGCTCCTGTTCTTTACGCTCCAGCTCAGCAGCCTTCTTCTCCAGCTCCGCTTGCTGACGGAGGAGCTCAGCCTGTCCTGCAGCGACACTGGCCTGATGGAGGAAGAAGATACAGTACATGCTGCTTTACTGCGGTTTATGCATAAACCTAACATCTGTTTGGTTGTCTTTAGGAGGATATGAGTAGCTTACCTTATTTCATGATGTACTAAGATAAATACAGCATGCATTAGCATACAAATATCATGTGTTAAGTATAGTTCAGCATGAACACTGTACTAACTTGTGGACTGGGCTCCACTGTGGTCTGCAGGACTGCTGGTTGAGAGGCAGTTGATATGGGAATGGTGCGCCCATCCTTAAATGAGAGTGGGGCAAGGTTTTTAAACTTTTCGATTGTGATTACATACAGAGCACAACAGCTGCTTTTTTAAAATAAGCAAACACCAGAAAAAAAAGTTTTTAACAGAACTCCTACTTGATTCTTTTAGGATTTTGCATTTCTTTATTTACTTGACAAGGTTTGCTTTTTTTTGTAACTTTTAAAGATTAAATGTGACCCTGGACCACAAAACCAATCTTAAGTCGCTGGGGGAAATTTTTAGCAATAGACCAAAAAAAAAATTGTATGGGTCAAAATTATCAATTTTTCTTTTATGCCAAAAATCATTAGGATATTAAGTAAAGCTCATGTTCAATGAAGATATTTTGTAAATTTCCTACCGTAAATATATTCAAATTTAATTTTTTTTTATTAGTAATATGCATTGCTAAGAACTTCATTTGGACAACTTTAAAGATGATTTTCTCAATATTTAGATTTTTTTGCACCCTCAGATTCCAGATTTTCAAATAGTTAAAATATTGTCCTATCCTATGTAACCTGAAAGCTTATTTATTCAGCTTTCAGATGATGTATACATCTCAATTTCAAAAAATTGACCCTTATGACTGGTTTTGTGGTCCAGGGTCACAAATAAGACATACACTTAAATTCTAAATAAATACATTAAAAATTAAAACTAGGATTTCAATTTATTAATTACAATATTTGACTGTATTTTTTTTTATCAGCTTACTTATTTTTGATCCCACAGGATAATTTTGGTTCCAAATTACAACAAGAACAATATAATTATGTATACATTCCTGTAGATTTTTTTTTTTGACTAGATATAAAGCCAAGGACATTAGGAATTGAGAAAGGATATTTAATTTGAAAATGAGGATTGGAAATTGTTGTCATGCTTACCAGAGCACCAGCTGTAAATGGGTTAAACTCTCCTATGCCATCGGCTGCCGTGTTGGTCACCTGAGTAACTGATGGATCCTGTCAGGCACATAAAATATGACTTGTCTATTCATGTAACACATGTTATGCACAGTTTCTGGACATGCGCCGTAGCATTCTTTAAAGTACTTTGGAGTGCCATGTAAACGCTGCCGGTAGGCTACATGAATATAACAATTATTCAGTACCATGACATCTCTGAAAGCACCACAGTATTGTCAACTATTGTTTATTTTTTATTTTTTATATTTGTATCTAAAAAAAGTATATATCCTGTGCCACGAAATTAAATGAGATGCACCTGTCGGATTTGTACATGAGTTTCGTACACCTCGCGTGATGTGAGGGATTGGGAAGTTTTTATGTTTGTAAAATGCTTTACGTTCTTTACAGAATGATAAACAGGTTTATGATGGTAACCACCGAAGCAAAAACACAGTTGTTATATTTTAAAACAACTTAAAACAACACGATTTAATTTAACAAAGTAACACTTCCTCTATCGTCATCAGATGCTGATTGGCTTGTCAGCCTTACAGTGAATCGTGATTGGTTGAACGCCTGTCAATCACACCTCATTACTCTAGTGACTCAGAACCTAACCAACCAACCAAACAGGTTTGCAGCGCATACAACTTTTAACATTTTACATATACCTGAAGACATAATAAGTAGATATTTACCTGAAAAGGATTGACATCAACTGGCTCGGCAAAGGGGTTGTTATCGAATCCAGACATTTTGTCTTGCGGTAAGCAGCACAGGTGTACTGGTGCTCCGTCTGTGTACCTGCCAGCGCAACTCCCTGAGCGCACACCTCGCTGCGCATGCGTGATGGAGTCAGTCGTCACGTCACTCCTGGGTTAGTTTGATCTCATGTTCCAGCTCTGCTTACACTGCTGGAAATGAATACTACTCGGTTCTGATGTGGAGCTATCCTGCTACACGTATACCTATAGAAACGTACCATTTTAATAATAAGATTATTACTTGGTGCAGAAAATGGTACGTTACCATTTTTGTTCATTCATTTACATTTTTTTTTTTTCCGAAAAACTTTTCAAAGTTGAATTTTAGCATAATTACTAATGATGCTGAAAATTTAGCATTGTCACCACAGGAATAAATTACATTTTAAAATATATTCAAATAGAAAGCAATTATTTTAAAGTCCCCCTGTAGCCAAATATTTTATCCCTTAAAACCTCCCGCTCTCTCTCTTGAAGCCAACACGGAAGTTACTAAAACTGTAATTCGTCAACTGGCCGCTAGAGGCTGGCTGCAAAAGGGAGTCAATCCCATAGACTCCCCATGTTAAAATGCCCAACTTTACAGCAGAAAAAAACCGTTTACAGCCTGGTTCAAAAAATTATTTTTGTCTATATAGTTAATTTTGCCCTTCATGACAACTGTGAGGGGGGTGAATTTTTTTATAACTCACCCGTTTAAATTATATTAAGCCTTAAAATTCTGCATAATTAAGGGCGTGGCCACTTGAGTGACAGGTGGATTGCCGCTGCTGTCACCACCGTCGAGCTAGGTGGGCGTGGTTTCAGCAGCCAGCTCCCGCCTCTTTGCCCATTTTCGATTATCCGGGAGTGACACGCGGTGACGCGCTGCCAAGATGGCGACGGCTGGCTCCGCCTACTTCAGGCTTCAAAACGCTCGTCGAAAGTCTATGGGTTACGTCACGGACACTACGTCCATGTTTTTATACAGTCTATGCTTAAAACTTATCTTCGATCATCAAAATTACATATTTAAATGTTTTTTTCTTGTGAAGAAAATTTTCTCATTCCTTAAAATAGCTTGAATGTAACTCAACACCCTTGCCTCATTTACTATACGCTGATCTATGAATATGCTAATTAGTCCCGCCTCCACTCAGTCACACCAGCCAGCGCCTCCTGATCCACTGAACTGTAGTAAACGCAAAACAATGGCATACACAGATAATGACTGATAAAACTATGTTTTTACTAGCGGACAACTACAGTGAATACTGTAACATTCGTTAAAGTTAGTTAATTGAGTTAAGTTAAGTGTCCTAAAATGCCTTGAAGACTCGAATGTAGCCGTTTGTGATTGTTAATTCGCGCCCGCGAGCACGTTTTCTATTTGGAAATATTTTCAAATGTAATTAAAAACTTTTCAAAGTTGAATTTTAGCATCATTACTCCAGTCACATGATCCTTCAGAAATCATTCTAATATTCTGATTTGCTGCTAAAAAAAAAAAAACATTACTATTATTATTATTGTTGAAAACGGCTTAGTATAATTTTTTTAGGTTTCTTTGTTGAATAGAAAGTTCGGAAGAACAGCATTTATCTGAAATATAAATATTTTGTAACATTATAAATGTCTTTATCATCACTTTTGACCAAGTTCCTTGATAAATAAAAGTATTAATTTCATAATTTAATAATAAATATATAATGATTTAAATATACTGACTCCAAGTTTTGTGTAATGTTACAAAAGCAGGACTTTAAATAGTAAAAATATTTCACAATATTACTGCTTTTACTGTACTTTGGATGAAAAAATGCAGGCTTATTGAGCAGAAGAGAATGATTAAAAAAAAAAAAAAAAAAATTAAAAATCTTACTGTCCAAAAATTAAACATTTTCTTTTCCGA